AAAGAGATAATGAAGGGTAGGAGAGGCGGAAAGAGAGAGGACGAAGTAGGGAGGGAGGGAAGACGGATGCGGGAGAGGTAGAGGAAGAGGAAAGGGAAGGGACGGTAGCCAGCGGGTTAGGGGGGGAGAGGTGTCAGGCGCTAGTGATCAAAGCGACAGAAAAAGAAAAAAGAAAAACAGAGTTTGGAGAGAAGAAAGCGGGTTTGGTGGGAAGAGCGGCAGCGCGGCAGTGTTGAATTCGCGAGACCGGCGCAGCCGAAAGAGGGAAACGAATGCGTACGCAGGAAATATAAATCGGGTTCTGCAGGAGGATCCGGCCTGTAGGCCGATCAGGCGTCGAAAAAGCTAGACCCGGTTACCGTCTGATTGGAAACGTTTCAGACTACTATCTTTGCAGGGCTCTCTATCTGTAGGCCCTTGGAAAAAACCCACTTGGGCCTTACTTCCTTTTCCGACGCCTTCATCCCGATCCTATTCCGAACCCCATTTTCCATCAAGAAGGGGACCCAATGTTTGCCTATTTTCAAAACATCCTGAGGACCCTGTTTCCCGCTGATATCGGATACAGGTTCTATACGAAGAATTGTTTCCAATTGGTCAGGCAGAGCACCCAGTCCTTCCAACAATCAGCAAATTTCCGAGAGAAGGCAGAAAGAGCGTTATCAAAATAATGATCTGGGTAGCCTCTCAGTCTGAGTTCCTTCTTTAGTGTAAAGAGGAGGGCCAGCTCTGCAAGAGGCATAGTGGCGAAGGTTCTAGCTCTGTGCAAAAATGAACTGATGACAGCGAGCTTTTGTTGTTTGCTAGAGAAAGAAGAGAAATCTTGAATAGCTTGGAAGGAAATAGTGTCAGATGCAAGCATAGCAGCCTGATTGCGATGAGTAGGAGCACAACGTATACCCATAGGTTGTGGAAAGACTTGTAGCTGGCAGCCCAGAAAATCCCATCTTCCACCGGAACTGGTTTCTTCCAAGGTCAGGTTCCTGTCGTAGCAGCTTCTGAACCGGTGCAGAATGTGGTCAGCCTTCCTTTGTGACAACTGATTCCCTTGCTTGAAACTGACAAAGATGGATACATCATCCACCAATCTTACGCCATGGATCAAAGCGCGATCCTTGTTTTTCAAAGAAGGCCTCATTTTTTGGAATCAGACTCTTCCTCATCCGATGAACTATCAGCGTAGCACAACAGCAGAGGGAGCTGTTGGAAGCCTCTGGCAGCGTCCGGTAGGCCCTGAAACGACCAAAAAATACTGGGGGCATTTTTTGGGGGCGGCCTAGGACCTAGGGCCCCCCAAAAAGATTTTTGAATTTTTCAAAATTGGGCCCAATCCAGACCTACCGAACTAGACACCAGACCCATACCCAGACAACCGGACCGTCTGGATTCCGGTCCAGACGTCCGCCCGGTTGCCATGTGTATTAGACATCCAAGAATTACAAACTACCATACGAGAAGCTCACCGCTCTACCGTTCTATAGTTATGAATTTTCAAGACCTGTACGAAAAATTGGATGATGAAAATGAACAACAATTTTGAGGTCGCCCTACCGATCAGTCAACTTACTAGAAGACCGAAATTAAGCTATCCATCAGAGAAATCAAATTGACAAATTGTGCATTGAAGTCCAACCATTCACGAATTTTGACATCAGGGAACCTGAAAACGAAATGAATCAGGGCATAGAATCTAATAGGGCACCCCGAAACAGCGATTAAGCAGTGCAAAAGTGCCGACGAACAATCAGACCCAGTCATGAAACATTCATAACAACTCGAAAACAGCTCGAAAAAACAGCTGCCTCCCACGTTGCCGTAACTATGAGAGCTCGTATCAAAGCTTATCCGCCGCCCACCACCACTCTCTCCGAGGAACCTCCCACTCCATCACAACATCGCAGGTGCCGTCCCAAAAGTTCCTCCTCCATCTTCGTTCTAATCATGTTGCGCGGTCGCCTCGTGCCACTGCACTTCCTTCGCCAAAACACACCCCCAGCGTCTCCATGAGAGGGAAGAAGAACTCGTGTCCCCCCGCTAACCACTAAACTTCACCACAAGCGAAGCACTCCCGTTACCTTACAGAGCAGAAAACAGGCGCCTCCCACTTCCACCTGTGAAGCCAGAGATGTTATAGCACAGCCCTGCGGAGCCCGTCAACAAGTTGCCATAAAGGGTTCGAGCCGCCAGAAGCGCTGACGAGTGTCGCAAAGCAATCCCAGCGTAAAAGGAGGAGAGACAGGGCCATCCATCCATCGCCCTAACTAACTATACACCATCTTCCATTAAAAAAAATTCGATGAAGCGGCAGAACTCCACGACCCCTCGCTTTGCCAACCAACTATCCACGAGCAGAACTCCCACTGCACCCTCACAGCTTGCTCTTCCCACACCAGGCGATGGCCACCTCCTACCTCGGCTCTGCCCCTTCTACCGCGCTTTCCTGTTCGTCGCAAAGCCTGCGCCGCGTCATGATTACACTCCCGGAGTGCAGGGACCTCCAGGTGGAGGAGCGCCCCGGACGTGGTGGTCAGCAAACCCCAACAAAGAAAAATTAAAAATTTCCTTTTCGCATATGTGAAGTAGTGTAACAGGAAGAAGACTCTGTTGAGCTTGACTCTAGTTCGACTCTATGAAATGACTTGAGAAGTTGAGAGGTGTAGAATAAGTTGGAGCTGTACAGCGCAAGTGAAATACCACTACTCTTAACATTATTTAAATTTATTCTACTTATTTCGTGAGGTGGAGCCGAAAAAGGAAGTAGTGTAACAGGAGAGGAAGGAGGTCCGTCGTGTACTTGACTGTTTTTTCTTTTGGGCGCAATCCACGCAACAGTAACAGTTTTTCACTGGGAACAAAGGTGGGAAGGCGGATCTGGTCTTGTCGGAGGTACGTTTACAGATCTGGTTTTTGCGGACAGTTGCAGATCTGGTTTTTGGGCACGGTCTGACAGACGACTGTTTTTGTACCTCACGGTGATGTATTAAAAAAATGGCAAGGCTCAATTGCTCTTGTTCATTAAAAAAAATATGGGGTAAGTTTTTGGGCACATACGGGCCCAGGCTGCTGATCGGGACTGGTATCTGGCCGTCAAAAAAGAAATCGGGCTCTTCTTCTTCTTCTTCTTCTTCTTCTTCTTCTTCTTCTTCTTCCTTCTCCTCCTTCCTTCTCCTCCCACCTCCTCCTCTCCCCTCCTTCTCCTTCCTTCTCCTCCCTCCTCCTCCTCCTCCCTCCTTCACTCCTCTTTCTCCTCCCTCCTCCTCTTTCTCCTCCCTCCTCTTTCTCCTCCCTCCTCGTTCTCCCTCCTCCTCCTCACTCCTCCCTCCTCCTTCTCCCTCCTCCTCCTCCTCCTCCTCCTTCTTCTTCTTCTTCCACCCATGCAGATTTGCTTGATTCATATGAATGAGCGCCACTAAGTGAACAGCCAAAATATAAGGTGCAAGTGTGTTGAAAGGTGAACGGGTGTTTGGGCATCCTCTGCTGAAGTACATGACAGCGGGAGGCCTTGAACCATTTAGAATACAACATTTGAATGGTCATTTCGACAATTTCTTTCAATTATGTTACGATGAAATTAGTACGGATTATCACATGGTAAGACCACATGGCAAGATTGCTTTTTTTTTTTTCTTTCTTTTTTTTTCTTTTTTTTTGGCAAGGTTGTTTCAAACATGACATCTATGCATCCATCTGGAAAGGGGTCGCTGTCGTAATTGTTTTACACACACACACACACACACACACACACACACACACACACACACGTCGGTAGACCTTCGAAGATCTGAGGTCCAGATACAGGGGAAAGTGTTCTCTCAGGTGTTTCGGTTTGCTTACCTTCCTTGAGTTCCTGCAGTTCTCTTACCTGCTTCATTGGCTTTGTTTGTTTCAAACTGCAGGCATGACTACATTGGCCAAGTGCATGAGTGAAAGCCTCCCTCTTTATAGAATATATGCCAGAAACACTCTTCAGTCTCTGACAAGTGAACCTTTGTCAACGCCATTCTCTTCTCTCTCTTCCCTTGTCGTATTCTTAACTCTTCTCAGCACCCTCTTCTGCTGATAACTTGATATCATCCCAGCCATCATGGGATGCACCTCCACACACCTGCACATTTTGCTCAGGTAGACGTGAGGTTATAACGCACATACACGATGTGACAACAGAGAGAGAGTTGGGGGGGGGGGGGGGGGGGGGGGGGGGGGAGAGAGAGAGAGAGGGGGGGGGGGGGGGGGGGGGGGGGGGGGGGGGGGGGGGGGGGGGGGGGGGGGAGAGAGAGAGAGAGAGAGAGAGAGAGAGAGAGAGAGAGAGAGAGAGAGAGAGAGAGAGAGAGAGGGGGGGAGGGAGGGAGGGAGGGTGAGAGAGAGAGAGAGGGAGGGAGGGTGAGAGAGAGAGAGAGAGAGGGAGGGAGGGAGGGAAGGAAGGAAGGAGAGTGTCAAGATGGCGAGTAACAAAGATCGTTATCCTGGGGGAGGTTCTGACTATAGTTGGCCCCGTTTCACCAACTCATCAATACGTGAGGAAGACAACCATCCCAGTCAGAACAGGGTTCTGGAAATGAGTTCAGACAGCGCTTATGTGACAGAAGTAGATATGGAGAGTGCTGTGGACATAGTCACACAGATCGACCTGTTGAGAGATGAGCTTGATCAGGAGAGGAGGCAGCGGAAGAAACTGTGGGAACAATTGGAGGAAGCAGTCCATAAGCTAATGAAAACAGAGGCAGATAATGTCACACTCAGACGCCGGCTCAACAAGGAGATTCAGGTCCGGTACACAATTGAAAAGGCGAAAAAGGACTTGGAAGGCATGTTAGAGGTGGCTCAAGGCATGATGGAGGAGGAGAAGCGATGCTCTGACCTCAATCGTGTCAGACTCGCTGCGCTTCAGAGCAAGCTAGAGTCAGAGACGGAGTTGCGAACCCGCATGCAAAGCAAGATAGGCGCCTTTCAAAGAGTAGTGAGCAGAAACGAGACGGATTTGGCATCATCAAAGCTGGCCCTGACTGTGGTGAAGAAGCTTGATGAAGACAGAGAATCTCAGCTGGCGATCATTCGTGGTCAACTACAGATCGAGGCCTATGAGAGAGCACAGGTGGAAGAACGAGCTGAAGAGTTTGAGAGACTGAGTAAGGACTTAACTTCCCAGCTAGCATCGACACAGGCAGAGAAACAGCGTGCTGAAAAGAGCGTAGCTGACGTCAGAGGTCAGCTGCAGAGGGAGCTTCAAGAAAGGCAGACGCTTGAGGCGCTCTTAGAAGAGTCGAGGGAAGTGGCCAAAACGTTTGAAACGGAATTGACAGCAGTGAGGTTGTCTTCGACTGAGGAGAGATCCCTGTGTAGGCAGAGCCTTGCAGAGGCCAACAGTCAGATGCAGCTCGAGATTCAGAAGAGGATTCAGATGAAGAGGCAAGTGGAGGAGCTAGAACGAAGAGTAGAAGAAACAGAGATGGAGTTGGCGACCACAAAGATGTCACTAGAATCGGAGAAGGGACGCGTGGCTGATCAGGAAGCTGAGATCAAGGCTGCACGCGTTAAGAATACACATCTGGAGAAAAGACGGGCGGAGGCGGAAGGAATAGCGAACGACTTGGAGTTACAGCTGTCGTCCGTAATGTCGGTGTTGGTTGGTGAGAGGAAGAAAGTGGAGGATAGTGAAGCCGAGGCAGGATTACGCCTTGATTCTGAGATTGGTGAGAAGAATCGGCTTGAGACAGAGCTGTGGGAGCTGGAAAGAAGAGCGAGAGATTTGGAGGCATCGCTGGCCTCCACTAGGTCAGATCTGGCCGCAGAAAGGATGGCAGCTGCTGACACTGGATCCACACTTAGTGCCGCTATTCAAGCGAAGGCCCGTCTGGAGGCAAGGTTGGAGGCATTTTCACGAATGGCAAAGGATTTCGATGTGGAATTGAGTTCCACCAGACTGGCATTGCAGGCGGAGAAGGAGCATGCGGCCGAGATCGCAGAGAAACTGCAGCTTGAGGCTCAGCAGAGGATCTTGGCGGAGGCGCGGGTCGAAGAACTGGAAGCAGTGACGAAGCAGTGGCAGGAACAATCAGCGTCGGACTCCCCCAAATCATCGGTGGTGGTGGCACAAGCTGACGCAGTGGTGTGTGGATCTCGGGGGGTAGGTCTTGAAGTCGAAAGGCATACTCTGCCGGAGACAAATTTAGAAACGTTCAGAGAGGCGGCGGCGAACTCGCAGGTAGTAGATTCCGCCCTCCCCATCTCAGCAGCTGCCTTGGCAGATGAGATGAAATGGGATGCACAACCAGACAAGAGGGTCGAAGAAGAGTTTGAGCAAATGGTAGAGAGCTTGCGAAGAAGATGGGCAGTCGTCATCATGGAACTGCCGCTGGAAGCAGTAAAGAAGATGGTCCTTGATGGGTTAAGGGTAATTGAGGGAGGAGCTCGACTAGAGCTGAAGACTAGCCGCCGCAGGCTTGAACTCAAGACAAAAGTGGAAGAGCTAGAAAGGATGAAGAGGGGATTGGAGACAGAATTGTCATCGGTTGAATTGGAACTGGCTGCAGAAAAGGACAACGAGGCCGAGAGTGAAGGTCAGACAGCAGTCGAGGCTGAGGAACGGGAGGGTCCAAAGACTCCCGCTGAGGACTCGGAAGTATTATTGAGCCAGACGGAGGAGATGGTGGAGATGGTGGAGACGGTGTCGTTTACTAGGAGGTTGAGACGAGAAGCAGAAAGAAAAGCTACAGACAGTGATGGGGGATTAGCAAATAGGTCACAGCCAGTACAAGCAGAGCAGCTTGAGAGCGAAAGGGCAATTCAAGCAAGCACAGAGGTGTTGGTAAGGATGGACAGGAATGTAGGGATAGCCACAGCATCTTCTGGCTCGCTATTATTTCCAACTGAGAGCGAGAGTGTTACAGATGCCGCCAGCGATCCACTGATCGAAAAGCGCAAAGAGGAAGAAGAGGTTCAACAAGGCGCAGGAATCCTAGAAGTGCCATCAATAACAGCAGGACAGATAAGCACACTGAGGTCAGGCATCAGGTTGGTCGGGGCGGGATTACAAGGGAAGCTCGTCGAAGTTCGTGGGACTGGATTGAAGGACACAGCGGAGGCGGGGGGTGAACACGTGCCTGCACCCCTGCCGGCACAGATCGTCCTCCACAGATTGCAATCGGCAGAAGACACCAATCTAACAGCAGAGGTCGCTGCAAAACTTGGGCTCGAGATTGTTGGAGACGATGCCCACATGACAAGAGTGGAAGAGCCTGAAAGATTGGCAGGCGATCAGCCAGAAGAGTGGGTACGTGCAGGGTCAGCTGATGACAAGGTCAATATGGATCATGGGCTGACCGATCTGGAATCTCAGGCGGAAGTGAAGAGTCTGACATGCACGAGAACCTGCCTGGTAAAGAGAGCGGAGGATATCGGAAGAAAGATCCGGTCGCTTGACGCGGAATTGACATTCACAAGATTGGAAGTCTTACTGGCATTTGTTGAAGGTGTGGTTGCTGCAGACAATGGCCAGGTTGAGATGGGAGGTGGGCTCGACATGGACTCGGCGGCGGCAGAGAGGGGACTTCCAACTGGAATCGTCGTGCATGAATCAAGACATGATGAACATCTGGACGTGGAGCTGGCGGCGTCTAGCACGTCGGCATTGACAGAGGAGACAGAATGTGCCACGGAAACTGCATCCAAGCTGAGGCTTCAAATCCAGCGGGATACTACTCACCTAAAGAAAAGATTGGGAGAGTTCTCTGAGGGAGGAGCGAAGGTGTGTGCAGACAATGGGCTGGTTGAGACATCAGGAGTTCATCAACTTGATCTGGTGAGCGACAGGAGCCGGATAGACAACATGCAGACAGAGCTGGGGGAGGAATCGACGCCGGTCCGTTCGTCATTTGTAGAGCAGAAAGAGATGGCCATGGAGAATCATGGCCACCGGCAAAGTTATCAGATGGCACAACAGAGCGAGCGGGATGCACAACGAGTAGTACGAGGAGAATCTGATGTGGAGATGGAAAAAAAGATGAAGGAGAAAGTCGAAGACGATGGGTTGGTCGTTATGACAGGAGCTCTCGTCAACGATGAGGCTGGTGGGAAAAATGGGAAAAAGATGAAAGAGAAGAAGAGAGTAGAGGAGCTTGAGAGACGAAACGATGAGTTGCAGCGGGAACTCGTTGTCGCCAGATCAGCACTCGAGGCAGAGAAGGAGGTGGTTGCAGCTGAGATCACGGCTAAGTTGGCTGCATCGCAGATGCCGCCACAAAAGGATCAAATGGAAAGCAGCAGAGCAGACGTCGATCCTGAAAGTGTTTGCTCCGAAAGCTCTGCGGAACAGTCGGAAATGGACACGATGACTCGGCGGCCGACGTCTTCGACAGGATCTAAGGAAACCACAGCTGGTAGGGAGCTACCGGTAGTCGAGGCACGAGCGAGGATTTATCTTGAGAAACGAGTAGAGGAATTGGAAGGAATAGCAAACGGCTTGGAGTCGAAATTGAGGATCACAAGATTGGCATTAACGGCGGAGAAGGAGCTTGCGGGTGAGATAGGAGGCAAGCTAATCAGAGAGATAGAACAGAAATGGGAACTTGAAACGAGAGTCGAAGAGCTTCAAAGAGCGACCGAAAGGCTGGAAAAGGAACTGACATCGACGAGGTTGTCATTGGTGACAGAGAAGGAACACGCAGCAGAGATCGGACGCGAGCGGAGACATGAGGTCGAAAGGAACGATGAGCTAGAAGAAAGAGTCAAAGAGTCCAAAGCAGCCGCAGAGGTTTTGGAAAAGCAATTGTCAGCCATGAGTTCGGCATGGGAAGAAGATAAGAAAGCTGCAGCCAGCAGGTTCACAAGGGCGGAAGGTCAGCTGGCTATGGAAGTACTGAGGAGGGGCCAACTAGACAACAGAGTCAAAGTGTATGAAAGATTGACTAGGGACTTGGAGACTGAATTGACATCTGCCAGGCTGATGTTGATAGAAGAGAAGGAATCGACGGCTGAGATGAGACGGAAACTGAGCACGGAGGTTGAAAGGAGAACTGAGCTGGAGAGAAGACTGGTCGACGTGGAACAGACTGCGAAGGACCTAGAAACGGACTTTGCATCTGCAAGGCAACAACTCAAAGCGAATAGAAAGGCTGCCGACAACATGTTCGCTGAGATTAGTGGGCGACTGAATATGGAGACCGATAGGACGACCGAGCTGGAGGCCCGGTTGGAGGTGTACGACAGAACGATGCAAGAGGTGGAGGTAACATTAGCAAGAACAAGGATGGCGTTGCAGCAAGCGGAGGAGGAGAACTCGACGTTAGAGGAAGGAAAGGTGGCGTTACGCCACCACTCGATGGAGGAATGGGAATCGAACGAGAGCAGTGCCGATCGCCAGAGCGTGCATGCGCTAGACAAGGCTGTTATGAAAAAGGCGATCAAGGCAACAATTGGCGATCTAGAATCCGCCTTGGTGTCCGTGAGACTGAAATTGGAGGGCGACAAGCAGAGTGGGCATGAGAAACGGAAGTCGAGGGTCTCAATGCTCAGACGACGTGTTCAAGAGAGAATTCAATGGGAGATTTCATCCGGGAAGGGGATAACAGGCGACAATCTGACGACACTGCGTGCGGTATCAGGACATCTGAGTGGTGGCAATCGTGTCCTTCCCGATTTCCCCGCGCAGCTCATTCGCGCAGCAACCGACAACTTTGACCCATCCAACAAAATTGGCGAAGGTCGTTTCAGTGCACTGTACACAGCTGAGCTTGGGGGGGAGTTTGTAGTGGTGAAGAAACTAGTCATAGGAAATGCCGATCGAGGGAGGTTCCGTGCACAATGTGAGAGTTTGAGTGAACTCTATCATCCTTGTCTGATGGAGCTTATAGGGATATGCTCAGAAGAGTGTTGCCTGCTGACAGAATACGCCGCTGCCGGTAGCCTAGCAGATAGGCTATCGTGCAAGGGAGGATCGGTGCCCATCAACTGGGAAACGCGACTCCGCATAGCAGCGGATGTTGCGAACGCGTTGTCGTTCTTGCACTCCCAAGAGCCCAATCCCATCATCCACAACAGGGTGAGGCCTGCAAACATCCTGCTGGGTGCAGGGTATTCTTGTAAGATCACAGCCGTAGGAATCGAGAAGATTGCGTCAGAGTGCGCAAGAGAGTTTTCCCCGGAGGAGGGGGCACGTAGACGAAGGCTGAACGGGTTTCGGGCACACAGTACGCTAGAGTACATGGACCCCGCGTTGCTGCAAGCGGGGTGCCCCAGAACCCCGACGTGTGACATTTACTCCTTTGGCCTGGTGCTGCTGGAGCTTCTGACAGGGAAAAGACCCACCGAGTCCGTCAGTACCGTTGAGAGCGCTCTGGAAGAAGACGATAACAAGCTCCAGAATGTTCTAGACAAATCGGCGGGTGATTGGAACCTGGCCTTGGCATACCAGGTTGCCCAGCTGGCAATGAATTGCATAAAGGGGTCAGATTACAGACCCGATTTTCCAACGGTGATTTATCCGTTTATGGCTAAGGTGTCAAGAGTCTCAAGCCAACCTGGCATGGCATCGCATTGAAAGAAGAAAAATGTTTATGTTAAAATATAGTCAAGGAATGTGCTCCCCCAACCCCATTTATAGCTATCAACAAACACAGCAGCCTCCTGTTCCAGCATTCCCCCCTAGCCCTCCTGCCCTCAAGGTACCCCCTTGGTCCATAGACTTTCGTTCGAGGCTGAGGCAGCAAGCTGTACACAGTACTACACACTCCTCTGCCTTGCCCTTTATCCTCTTTTCTGTGTCCCCCCATCATCCCCTAAGCTTCCCTTACCTCTCTCCTGCCCTCTTTTATCATCCCTAGGCTTAATACCTGCGTTGAAGCCAGGTTGCAAGCTGTTTGTGCACGGTCTCGTTTGTAACGGAAGTGTGCACGACCCAAGCCAACTGTGACACCCCCCATCTGCTACATGCTCGTATGCACTGTTGCATCTTGCTTGAGTAGCAATCTTTTTTTTTTTTTTGGATGGTCCAATGGACCGCGAATCAGGTATATTAAAGTGATCAGAACAATAGATACTCCACTTGATCTATTTTTTTTTAGCCAAAAGGCCGAGAAAGGTCGAGCGTGCTTGAGTAGCAATCAAGTGCTCACAGTATTTGCATTTCCGCTCCGCACACTGATTGATTGTGTGTGTGGCATTCAGGTCACAGGTGTGTGGTGCCACCGACAGACACACTCATTGATTTTGAGCTCTGTGAACTGTGTGAGCTAATAAGCCCTCTGGGGATGTTGTGGGGTACCAGTCGGTGACAGGGGGTATCAGCCTCTGCATACACTGTTTGCTGATGCTACTTTCCCACGAAAACTCAACTTATCTAATTTCAATTTTCAAATTAATAAATTAATATGCTTAATCAACTGCTGCAAGTTATTTTTTTACACCTGAAGAGCAGCTGCATAACTTATTCCAATTTCAAACTATGGTTAATCAACTGCTGCAATGCTGCATGCTAATTTTAGACCTGAAGAGCTGCGTTGCAGTCTCTTTGGGATCGTTAGACTGCATTGGATGGTGTGAGAAAAAATTGTATTATCGGTTTCTCTCTTCAACCGTTCACAACTTCACATATGTGCTTTGGATTTCAGAACCAGATATCAACGCCACAATTTGGCCTTATTGGTCCATTTCACTATCGGACTCGAACGGATAACCTCCATGCTAGTCAAAAGTAGCTGAATGCTTAGCTTGGTTTCTGCATGCGATCCCTGCTAGGTAGTCAGTGCAAGATGGATTCCCAATTTCCCGCTCACAATAGCCGTCTGCTGCTTTGCTATTATATTCTTTTTCCCGAATTCGTGTGCGTCATCCTTGCGCAGGAGCCATGATAGTCTTCTCTGCATCGTTCCAATTTTTTTTTAACAGATGTCCCTAAGACAGCTCTTGTCACCCAATTCAGCAGCAGGCTGCAGCAATCAACTGCAAGCAACATTCTGACATGGTGCAGAACACAGCGCACCGGTTTGTTGAACTTTCTTCTAATCGCAGGCTCACAGCTCACCCAACTGAACGTCAACTTCAAGGTCCAAAGACCATTCCAGGGCCAATAATGCAGGCTGGACTCTGAAAAACCTGCTTTTTTGCTCACAATTGCTTTGAACTGTTTTCTGCTGCTCACCTGTGTGCTGTCTGAGATGTTAGTCTTTCTGGGTATTGAATCTATTGATGTCTCCAAGGAGTCCATGCTAGGTCTGTGTAGGTAATTTTCTGAATTTTCTGAATTTTCTGAATTTTCTGAATTTTCTGAAGTTTGTGATGTTGAATGTGTGTTCAGGTACTAACCAGGAGATTGCTGTTCTCATCTGATCCCCTCAGGACTTACCTCCAAATTTGGAAACTTAGAAGGGAAGCACTGAAATTTTGACGTACGAGAACAGAGACGAAGTTTCGGGAACAGCACAAGGACATAAAGGTAAACAGTTCGGGGCCTAGAAGGAATTTTCTAAGGGGGGGAAATCTGGAGCAGGTGTGGTAGTCCGGTAGGGCTACTGGTATAGCAGACAGTGGTACCTGACCATACCCCAGACTTGGAGTACGATTGACCAGGCACCCGAGGCCGAGTAGCAATTTCTAGCAAGTCCAGCCAGAATAGGCTCTGTTCGTCCTTTGGGACCATTCATTAAACCACCAGTACATCATCCAGCTATCGGCCTCGGGCGGAGGCCGCCCGCCGCTGATTCAATTTATCTACGGTGCCGGGCCACTGCAATTTTCGTAGGCGATGAGGTTTTTTTTTTCAGCAAGGCCGCTGGGGCCGTGTACTGGCTGTTTAACATTGGAACGATACAGAGAGAAGATTAGCATGGCCCCTGCATCAAAAAAAAAAAAAAAAAAAAAAAAAAAACAGAATAGGCTCTGTTGTCTGGCAGATGTAGCCGACAGCGGCGGTACCTGACCATACCCAGCCTGCAGTACGATTCGTCAGGTACCCAAGGCCCGGTAGCAATTTCTAGCAAGCCCCGAATAGGCTTTGTTGTTGTTGTCTGGCAGAGTTATGTATGTGCAGACATCGGTACCAGACCGTACCCAGGCTAGATTAGAGTAGGATTTGTACGGTACGCTGGAGGGCTTACAGACTGAGCCGTATGTCATCGTTTCCCTGCCCAAAAGCCCGACATGTAACACTTCCAGCGAAGCCAGGTAGATACTAATAGTGCCCTCCTACCGTCTTCACCCAAATAGAACGTACCGTCATCATAGCTGCATTTGGTTAAACTTTGAGTCTAGATACAGCAATAATGACGGTACGTTCTATTCGGGTGAAGACGGTAGAGAGCTATATACTCTTCCTAAACCACCAGTGCAAGAGAGAGAGGAGAGAGCATCACCCCAATGGATACTTGCTGCTGGACGAGGTAGCTAGTATGCCGCTGCTCCGTTGGACCAGGTTCATTTCCAGACTGGTAATGAGAGGATCAGCCGAGACCCAGGTGGAGCTCCATGGTTGCAGGAGCTCCCTGTTTGATTTGGAGATTCTGGGCTAAGGAAGCCATGGCTGGGCAGCACCTTCTTCAGGCAAAAAGCGCCCATGGTAGGGCCACTCGCAGTAGTTGGGGCATGTGTTGTGGATTCCAGTTGAGTTTCAGACCAGGAGTGATACTGGTAGCTACGGAAGCTTCCATCTTTCTTCGTCTTGAGAGACACTAGACCTTGGAAAGCCGTGGAGGCCCGAGCAAGGCATGGCCTTCATCTGGGTGCACTGCACTAAAATCATTGAAGTAGGAGACTGTAGGACGTGCTATTTCTTCTTTTGTTTTCCTTTTTTTCCCCAACACAAGTTTGCCCCTTCTATTCTGGGGGGCGTCAGTCCGGTTGCTTATCACCGGCAAACATGTTCAGGAAAAGGGACACGGCTGAGATGAGAAGAAAGGCATGACCATCTCGAGACACCTATCAAGGGGGGCAAGGATGGGCTATTTCTTGGATCACATTCTGCACATTACAGTTACCGAGGACTGACACTTCAGTATTTTCTTTCTTTGTTTATTTTTGAAAGGATTTCACCTGCCTAAGTCTGCTGTGATTCGGTCCCGGGACCTGTTGCTGTCGTTCTTGCCTGTTCTGCTATGTTGTATGCCTGCGTGATGTTGTGGACTTTGAACTCGGGACCTGGTGTTGACTTACCTGTGGCCTTATCGCTTGCTATACCCTGCTGTAAGCGTTGACTGTCCTTGTGGAGCCTTGAACCTGAGACCTTCTCTTATGTGTACCTAAAGTCAATGCTTAGTACGACTTGCAGGGTAATTGTGAGTCCAGCAAGCTATCTTGAGGGTCCCAAGGGCAAACGGGGGAAACTGCCTGTTAAACCACCAGTACTTGGCCCAGCTATCGGCCGCGGGAAAAGTAGAGTAGAAACGTTTCTAGTTGGATGAATTTGGGCGCTCCTGTAGTGGCCTGTACGTTCCTAAAATCGTGGCGCGTTAACGGGCACGACTTTAGGAAGTACTGGTGGCTTAAACAAAACTACAGAATTCGCTCTTGCAGCCCCTTTGACAAATCAAGCAGTGCGCTGTGTGGTGAAGAAGACAGCCATAGCTGAAGTAGTAGGGCTGGTTCGTCAAATCAAGCAGTGYGCTGTGTGGTGAATACGACAGCCTTAGCTGAAGTAGTAGGGCTGGTTCGTCAAATCAAGCAGTGGGCTGTGTGGTGAATACGACAGCCTTAGCTGAAGTAGTAGGGCTGGTTCGTCAAATCAAGCAGTGCGCTGTGTAGTGAAGAAGACAGCCATAGCTGAAGTAGTAGGGCAATCGTGTTGCCATCTAGTAGCTGTTGTTTCTGTTTCTTTTTTATGTGGAATCGCGCTGTTGTGTCGAGTGTTCGTAGGAGAGAGCTTTTGCTTGGTGGAGAGTGAGCCATCGAGTAGGTGCATCACTTTGATGTTCAGGGAGAGATCCTTGGTGAGAGCAAGAGGAGAGGAGACATGCTTGTGTAGTAGAGCCTGCCATACAGGAAGATTACATTGAACTCAGGTTGCATCTTGTACCAACGAGTGGCAGGGTCTGTGTTGTGGGAAGTCTCATTCAAGTTTCAAGGGAGAGATCTTGACCTGCTATTTCGAAGTTACAAGCGTATGGCATATTTGTGGGGCCGACCCACCATAGCTGCAACCCCTATACCTTCAAGCTGTGTGTGTGCAGTTTCTTTTTTAAAAAGGTTGTGGAGGTGCCGGGGTTATGACTCAGGGAGGAAGTCCGGCAGGGGGCTTCATGCGCCGGGTTCAGACCACCAGTCGGCACTTCAGACGCACCCACTTACTCAGGAATCCCTCAAGATCGGAGCTCTCAGAGAGGGGGGAGAAGAGAGACCTTGCAACACACACCCGGGAGTATCAGCCTGGACGCTGTGCCAGGGCGCACCCCGCTCGAACTCAGGGTCCTGCATCCCCAAGGCACCCGGTCGGGTGGCAAGTGCACCACAGTCACCAGGTGCTGAGGGGATGAGAGTTGCTCCTGCTAGGAAGGGGGTGAGCCCTTCACTCCTCCCATACTCATCCCCACTGAGCCTGCCCCTCCCCGGAGCCCCCCCCCCCCATGGCCACCAGCAACCCAAGAGGAGGCGCGCACAGCCGTTCCGGAGGACCCTGGACTGTGAAGGGGCTAGTATCTTCTGGGCACCCTCTCAGGTGGACCCCAGGTCAGGTCTATGCGGATCCTTACGTACATCCGTGTGTGAGTGCCACTGAGTGGTAGTGTGTCAACCTAATGCCGTGTCGGCGGCCTATGCACGAGGCTGCAGAGTATTGAGCCCACAACCTCAGACCACAATGTGCATTTCCAACCGGTGCCCTAACCGTTGGGCCATCCGCCACTCACGTGTGTGCAAGTTTTAGCGACTGTAACTCTGAAATTTCATTGAACTGTGTGGTGATTGTGAGGAAGAAGGCGAACTTGATTTCCTGCGTTTGATGTGATTGCCATATCTGCATGCTCACAGCGAGGATGCATGAGTGAGAGTCTCCTTGCATTTATTTATTTGACACTCTAGTACTGGTGATGGAGAAGAGGAGGAAGATTAGGAAGAGAGAGAGCAGGGCTCAGGGTGATTTGTGTGGGGGGTGATGGAGTTAGTAGCGTGTAAGAGGGGAGAGAAGGGTCCGGGG